TTTATGGCTTTATAACAATTACTAGTGAACCCGCATTGCGTTAAAACGCCCAAAATTTAATTTCACAAACTTAAAAAATATTCCAAATGTTAGTCAGAGTTAAAAGAGATAGGGCATGTTTTAGTTTCATCAAATTTCAAATCACCCTATATCGATAAAAAAGTGCTTAACAAACAAACTTTACCATACATCTACAGGTAAGGTATTTAATTTGACCTGTCATTTTTGAAATTCGTTTTCAAAAGTATTCCCAAACTAAAATCTTTTCTCTGACATTGTGATACACACGTATTTCAATAAACTCAAGAGCTAATCTGAATTTGAATCTTCGAGCATATGGCAACCTTCCTAAATAATTGAATAATTTGAATGTATCTTTTTAAACACCTAGCAACGCTCTTCAAACATTCCAAATGGTCAAACTAAAGATTTCCTAATATTCCTTCGTTTGACTACGGTATTTTTATATTTCATATACTTTTTATCCCTCGGCAGGCAATGGCAAACCTCCGAGTGTATTTCTGCCATGAAAAACAGCTTCTCATAAAAATAAAATCGACGTTCGGAGTCGGCGTAAAACTGTAGGTCCCTCCGTTTTGTGTGACAACATCAAGGCCCACGCCACAAATCGGAGGAGAAGCTCGGCCAAACACTAACATATGTGTAAGCGCCAATCTATTATTATACTTTTTGTATTAGTTAATTGAGTAAGACCTTTCAAACTGGTGGCAGCCCTATTCAAAAGTGTTTTCAAGCTTTATCCTTGTTAACTCTCCTTCGCCTGACATCGCGATACATATTTTAATTAATTGATAAATTAAGTGGAATTTGATTTTTTTAAAGATGTGGCAAGTACAGTTCAGAAATAAAAGCTTTTCAAACCCCCTTCGATTGATACCCATATTTTAATAATTCATTACACTTATTAAATAATTTGAATTTAACTTCTTAAACAGGTGGCAATCCTCTTTCAACACCTGAAAAATATTCTTAGCGTTCAATCTAAAGATTTCTCAACACTCCTCGTTTGACATCCATATTTTGATGTCTCATATAACTTGTGTATAAGTAAACTAAATTCGATATTTCAAGCAGGTGGCAACCCTCTTCAAAATATTTTCAAACTACTACTTTCTGAAACCCCTTTCGTTTGGTACCCATAGGGTGGTACATATTTTTCTTACCTAATATGATTTTTTAAACAGGTGGCAACCCTCCTATAGTTCAGCTAAGAAACAAAGCTTTTCATAACCATTTCGGTTAATACCCATTTTGTAATAATTTATTTTTTTTTATTATTTGAATATAAGTTTTTAAAGGTGGAGACTCTTTTCGAAAAAGTAAAACCGATTCTTGTGCGGACGGTTCACATCGCAGCTCACAACGTCCGGATATTTATATCCACGTATCATGTGGGTAGCAACCTAACACCCGTTTAAAAGCGAGCTAAAGTAAGAAGGCATAAAACTTCGCGTGCACTGGGTTTGGGTCCCTCCACGTTAAAACCCCGCCCAATGAAAGAGAACAAACCGCCTCGGATGAGACCCCTTTTTTTGATGACGACCACGGCAAACGTATAAAGGACTGTAATTTAAGGGTATGCACCTGGAATATCTGGACCCTTAATGGGGAAGGTGCCTCTGCCCGGCTGGTTGATGTTCTCGGGAAGACGAAGGCTGACATCACCGCCATCCAAGAGATGCGATGGACGGGGCAAGGAAAAGTAATTGTGAAGCCCTGCGACGTCTACTACAGTTGCCACGTAAAGGAGCGCAAATTCGGTGTTAGATTCGTGGTAGGAGAGAGACTCCGTCGCCGAGTACTGGCGTTTACCCCGGTGGACGAACGTCTAGCCACAATCCGCAGCAAAGCTAGATTCTTCAACATCTCGCTCATCTGCAGACCAGCGCTGACAATTGTTAGATCTGGGGAGCTGCAGCAGCATAATCCTGATGGGTGTGTCGTCGTTCATTGTGCAGAATGTCGAATCGTCTATCTGCTCAGCCAGATGTATTCCCCTACGATCATTTGACAGGCTCGAGTGCCAGAGATCGTGTACGCGTTGAAGTCACCAACTACCATAGGGTTTTTACCTCTGAGTAGCGCACCTATTTCAGGGTGATATCCTGCCGGGCAGCTGGTGACAGGGGGTATGTATACGTTAAATATATCGAGCTCAACATCGCCTGACCGGATAGCAATACCCTGACATTCTAGGATGGTAATTCTGCGGTCGATGTCTGCTTCAATGAGACGATACTGCACGGTGTGGTGCGTGATGAACGCTAAACCTCCACCATTATCTCGCTCGCGATCTCGACGGTGCACGTTGTATCCGGCGCAATTCAAGAGGGTTGAATTTCCGTGCAACTTCGTCTCTTGGACCGCAGCTATTATTATTCCATGCCTTCCCATAAAGACAGTTATCTCCTCGATCTTGCTCTGGAGTCCGTTACAGTTAAATTGTAGCACCTTTGTATGCCTTGGGAGACCGATTGTGATGTGTGGTGTTAAAGATTTGTGTTGCCTGCCGGTCCTCTGCTGTACGTGCTGCAAAAGGGGGTGCTGCCTTGTGGTGGTGGTTGGCGGCGTCGCGGGGGAGGGATGCGACGGGGCAGCACAGCACTGGCCCACATAGTCACTCGTCCAATCTCGTGTGTTGCGAAGTCCTGAGCTCGCCCTAAAGTGGCACCAGCCGAGGCAAGAGTTGCATTTGACTGATGTCCCGTTACGGTATATTCTGGACTGACAAACAGAGCAGATTGTCGGAGGGACTAGGAGTTGCCGGCGGCGGTGTGTGGGTGGTATTGTGTTTGCTTGTGTGTCTATTGTTGTGTTGTGTTGGGGTGTGGGTGTGTTGATTGTGTGCTGCCCAGGTGGGTGGTGGTTTGCCGTGGAGGCGGTCCGGTTCGCACAGCATGGGGCCACGAACGACGTGGTCCATTGCCGGTGCCTACGCAGGCCCGAGCAGTTACGGAGGTGACTCCACCCGTCACAGGCATTGCACCTGACCGAGGTGGAGTTTGTATGCAGTCGTCTCTGGCATACGCAGCAGGTGTAGATTTCTGGCCCTGGGTTTGACTCTATGCCAGCCCTGAGCAGAAGGGTGCGGAGAAGGTGTAGCCCTAGGATCGAGCAACGTTTGATGGATTTCGCCGACCTAAACGGGGTTAGATCGCCGAAACAACAGCCCTTGGTCGGGTAAAACCCGACTCATTCCGGTACGTATAACCGGCTGTCGTGGGAATGATTGTGGGTGGTATAAATTCTATCTGTGGTTTATCTTATAAATTTTAATCCCATATAGATATGTATATATTTGTATGTTTCTATTTATTAATTTTTTGGTTATAATGTGTTTTTGTATTTCATGTTTTGTGACAGATTTAATTAAACGAAATTGCCCCTGAAGAAGCTAAAAATGTTTTTTCGAAACTTTGGGCCAGAAAGTGAAATAACGTAGTTTTATTTGCACAAAATACATAGATCAGACCAGCCTGGTAACATAAAATTGAATACATTGCATAATGTTAATGGGCCGTATGAATAAAAATAAGCAATTGCTTTTTCTTAAAATTTCAGTTCATTTACTCAATTTATTCAAACAAAATTGAAATAAAAGGTATGAAATTTTAAGAAAAAGCAATTGCTTAGTTTTTATTCATACGGCCCAATATCGTTCAAACTATTATAAAGTAAAATACTTTACATACTTTTCAATTTCCGCTCCTAAATACGCTCCAAAAACGTTCCCAGCAACCACTAATATCTAGTTGCCTGAATACACACTTTGTAGCAACTGCAGTTGCCAGTTGAGCGTTGGGAACAAGTGCAGAATAAGGTCTGTTTTTCGAAAATTCACCCTTTGTCCCCCATAGCCACGAAAATATAAGTTTGCTCCAAAAAATGTGTATACCAT